AGAAATTATTATGCCATATCTGAGGCAATGAAACTATAGTTTAAAAATTACAAACTTTGAGCTATATTTTATTTAAATATCATTTAACCCTTTCTGGCATGCTACCTTTTAAAGTTGGCATTTTGATAAAAAAATTTAAAAAAAAAAAAAAAAGGTAAGCAGTCTCATTTTGATAAAAAAAAAAAAAAAAAAAAGGTAGGCAGTCTAATTAGGCCTAGAGGAGTACACAAGTAAAATTTTGTGAATGCGCGTTTAATGTATAATGGACGGAATTAAACTTATCATTTAATTCTGTGGTTGGGCAGACTGATTGAATAGAGCTTCGAAAAGAGTGCTGAAACGAGCATTGTTGTCAATGAACTGACCGATGAGATGCGGAGAAACAAAGGATACAGACTCTGATTATTGGTGAGCCGGTCTGGGCACACCTAGGGTTTGCCGTTTGATTTTAGGCAAGATTTCAAGGTAAAAATTTTAAACTAATATAGAATAAGGAGATTAGCATACAGCCAAAAAAATAACATAGAAATTTCTTTTCAAACCATTCCTTTTATACTCTAAAAAAAACCTGGAAGATTTCTTTGAAAAATGAGGGTCTTAAAAAATTAAACATGGCTAAAATATATGGACTGGTTTGTGTTGAGCTGCCATCTACTATAAATAAAGAAGATTCAGAGTAACCTATAAATCCTTTTTCATTCAATTTTTCCGTGTGTACAGTAGGAAATTTTTAGGTGTGTCTAGACCAGACACACTGTGCCGCAAAGGGTTAAGTTTCACTTATAACATCATAGAACATCATTATTATCACTTATAACATCATAAATGACATCATAGAAGTAACATTCTTTGATATGCAGAAAATTTGGCTAGTTTACAGATTCGGCATAACTGTTTTTAAAAATACTTTTAGTTTGGCAAAGCTGCTATTAAAATTAAAATGTAATATTTATTTAGACAATGCACTCACATCCGTGCAACTGACTCAGCATCAATGGTTTCACCTATCAATGGTTCAGAACAGATGGGTAAAAATTGCCTTAAGTTGTCAGTTTTAATGTATAACACCTAAAAAAAGACCAATACTGTTTTTTCATGCATCTACATATTTTGAATATAACTAAACATAGGGAAAGGAAATGCTAATAAAGTATTCTCAGCCTGCAGAAAACTCTCAAATTCTGAATTCACACGTCATCTTTATGATCATAATTATTCTCTTAGGGAATTTTGACTGTTAGTAGTCATAGAGCACTTTCATTTCTGTATCCATTTTAATTTATAAATTTGTTTCCACTTTTCTTCTTTGGACACATTCTATTTTCATTCATAGCATGCTATCACAGCTTGCCTTATTACTGTTACTCTTGTGTTTATTTAGCAAGTAAGGGGAACAAAACATGATGATACATTAGAATTATTAAAATGCTAGGAAAATGACTATTCATAGTTATGTAATCCTCTAAAATGGGTTGTGTGTGTGTGTGTGTGTGTGATTATGGCAAAGCCTCAAGGGCTATCTGCCTAAGGGGAGGGATGCCTTCGTGGAGGACTTTCTAAGGGAAACTGGCTCGTATACACGTTACACATGGGGAAAACCACGAAAACACCCATGCAGCCAGCCCGTTCGCGGGATTCGAACCTCGGACCGAACTACCAGTGTTCAGCGACTTTACCGCTCGGCCGCTGGTGGGCTGAAATGGGTTGTTATGCTGCCTTCTATGCACAAGTATGATGCAATGCAGTACAAGAATTAAATTCCTTTGTTTATCTCTTTTTTGAGGATTACATTAAAAGATCAAAAACTCCTACTTTCATAAATATGAGAGAATGGTTACTTCACTGTAAAATATAACTTATTTTACTTATTTTAGCAATACATTATATAATGTACAGTAAAGTATATTTCATTACTCACTTTTTTAATGTTGGAAATATTTTGCAATTTTTTTTTTCAATTTATCTACAGTTATGTATCTTATATACCTGAAATACTGCTTTGTACACCTTTTGTATTATGTATCATTTCATGTAACCAAAATCACTCTTGGAATGTATTACCTGCAGATATGGGATCACTATTGTATATCATGGCTTAGTTAGTATAGCTAACTATCTGCTGCTTAGGCAGGAACCAGCTGTTAAATTACTTAACTGCCACAGGCACAAATATATGCCTTGCTCAGCCGATGTATTAACTGCCCTGGGCATACATATGCCTTCCGAAATATCGTCATTTGCTCTGTGCTGCTACCAGTATAATTATTCGCAAAGCTTTGGAATGTAACACCACAACGACCTTGACAGAGTATGCAAAGGAGGATACTATTTCAGAGAAGAAAGAGGGGAATTGGAGAGGGGGATGGTTCAGAAGCCGTGAAAGTTATGACTGCATAGTTATTGCTCGTGTTTCTGTTTGAGTAAAATATATTTTTTTTTATTCTGTGTCTTCCGTTTTTACTTATTGTTTGTAGTAGGTGGTGGTGAAAGTAATTGACTGTGTGGTTATTGCTTGTGTTTCTGTTTGGGTAAAATATTTTTTTTTTAATTCTGTATCTTCCCTTTTTTTTTACTGTTTGCAGTAGGTGCTTTTCTTACAAATATGTCTGACAGTGATGACAATGAAATACCTGATTACCTTCTGTCATCTTCAGGATCAGACACCCCATATGATATTATGTCAAATGAAGAGAATTGCAAAATCGTGAACGCAAAACGAAGAACAAAACCGTGACATCCAACCAATTCAGAGGAAATATATGTTTTTTAAGTATACTGATTTTAAAAGACATAACACTGAAACCTGATATTACACTTTACTGGTCTAAAAATAAATTGATCGAAAACCCATTTTTGGGGACCTTTTTTATTATACAAACATTATTTTTGTCATACTTACATTTTTTTATTACACTTTTATTCTAAACGTTAAATTTTGTATTTTCATTTTTTTAATCTTTATTTTGTGAAAATAAACAGTTTTTAGACATTAAAACTTGCAATTATTTTACTCCTAATATATCGCATAACTACGTGCGCCTGTGTAAAAAACGGTGGCACTGGGGAGTTAATCTTGTACGTTTTCAATGGCAGTTAAGAGGCTAATAATACAGCAAAGTGGAGCTTTGGCAGTGCTCAATTATTAGACTTCAAATTATACAATGCTACAAAATTATTTGTACACATTATTGAATGTACCAAGAATTGAAAAATATTACATATATTGATTCTGTAAATAATTTTGACGTGTAAAACTTATTCTGAAATAAATTTATTCCTAAGTTAATCATAATTAATCAGATTTTGCTTTAAATTCACCAATACTGCCATTGCATGAAGTTTTTCCAAATTAAATTCAAAATGTTCAAATGCTTCAACATTCTACTTAAGTTTTCCAATTCACAAATTTACAAATGCAAAGTCTGAACAAAAGACTAACCCCAAAAATGGCAAAATGATGTAAAACAACTAACCAAGCTTTTCCAAATATTGCCAAATATAATGCTAATAATGCTATTTTACTGTGGCACCATATTATTGAGTGTCGCTCCACTGGATTTTGAAAATATGCTGAGAAATTGGATCTGGACAATGTGTCAAGTTTCAATCTGACTCTACTTTTGCAAACACATTTTTATTGGAAAATTATCAGTTTTGTATCATACCTTAAATATTTTAATGCATAATAAAGTTCATTTTCCTTCCACCAAAGAAGGCATTAATTTTTGTTAATGCTTTTCTAAAAGAGCTACTGGTATGACTGGAGAATAACATTGTGCAGAGCTTATATATTTATCAGACATTTTGTACCTGCATGAATTGTTAGAATGCATGTTTACATTCACACACTGCTGTAAATATACTTAAGAATCAGCTTCAATTAGCTTACAGCAACAAATGAGTTAAGAACTTTAATTTCATACACATAATCAATACATTTAATTATTGTTACCATACAGTTCCATGCATAAGCCAAGGAATTTGGGGGACATTTCCTAATGCTAAATTATGAGGGGTCAGCTTGCATATGGATCCACTAATCTTACAGAAATCATAGGTACTTTTCCATTAACTAGGAGCAAGAGATCCTTGCCCTTTACTTATTGCTTTAGTTTATATTTCTTGTTATGAAAAAATTGCAAATGAAACGAGATATTTGTTTTCTGAAAATGAATTGTTTTATTTTCGAAATTGTTTATAAGGCTGGTTTGGTCCATCATTGCCAACACGAATATTCTGATATTAGCGAAATTTGCACCCCACTTCTTCCATTCTCAAACTTGCTTTTCATTAACAGAAAAATGCTGAGCAACCATACTGTTGTTAGAATTTTCATTAAATGTGATCACTTGTAGTTTGAAATTTTCCATATAAGAATTTCTCTTCCCTCTCAGCTCACAGAGGGGGGGGGGAATGCAGCAAAAATAAAACTAGCACAGACATCACATGCAAGACAACAAATGAATGGAAAAAATGTGTTAGCTAGAGACATGATTACAAGAGTTAAAACTATTGTCTTTGGTGTCTGGCATTTTCTACTTCACAGTGATTTCATTGGAAAATAATCTACACGTTTTACCTACTTGGCAGCATTTTTGCCCTAACAGCGACACGTTTGAACATTACACAATTTTTTTTTTTTCATTTTTTATATTGGCTTATATTTGAATTTTGGATAAATTTTTGAAAGAAAAATGTACTCTTAGCTTATACAGAGATTTCCTTATATTCATAAATACAGTAGTTAATTTGTTTCGACTAAGAAAATTCATTTTTTACAGCTACTTTTCTGTTTAACCATTGTTTGCATGAATTCATTACTCACTCAATCAGAAAAAAAGAAAACTGATCTACCATTCTGGATTATCATATTAAATTTAATTTACACTATATTTTGAGTTATCAAATACATAAATAGTTGCTTAACATGAGTAGAAAGCAGGAACTAAAATATGCAGAAACAAAGAATTCAGTTGTAGATACTTTACTATTAAAAATCTTATATATATTCATACAATTTTAAATGCATAAATCTGTGATATTAAAAATAAGTTACTCACTAGCAGATATTCCTGAATCCAAGAGTGGTACAGATTCTTCATCTGTTAATGTCCCTTCACTACTTCTTCTAGTCATTCTTGGAGTTACTATAAAAAATTAAAATCACAATTTCAAAATCAAAAGACAAAAGAATTACCTTTGTTAGATTCTATTATAAAATTATTTTGGAGTACAATCTTCAGATCATTTTCTGTGAATCAGTTTACTTGATTTTATCTTCAGATCTATTATCCACAATTAAGTTAATTAATTTAATTAGAAAGTAAGTGAAAGTAAGTAATGCAGAATTCTTGGATGTCAAAAACTAATTTACATTTGTTTCCCACATCATTAATATATTGTTCCATATTTCAAAACATAGTCCATAATTTAGAATATTTAATTTTTTATGAATTCTTAAAATGTTATAGACTAAAGTCACATTTTTATAATGACTACATGACTCAAGTTTGTTCTTACATAGAAATAATTGTTTGGAGTAGATTAATTATTTACTATAAATCACACGATGGCTCTCTGGTTAAGACAAGGAAGCATTTATGCAAAACTAGAGAGTTTTGCACAAACACAAGAATAACCTTGACATCTATATTACACATGAGGAGGAGGGGGGAATCCCAAGAAGTCATTTAACTGAACTTTTGAAAACTAAATCAAAATGTTTGTTATGAATATTTTGCATTTGATGAAGTATGTGTTTAAGTACAATCTTGAATGTAGTACAGAATAGTCTGTCAAAACTGAAGTTAGAGTTAAAAGGAAAAAGTGTCAATTTTACAAATAAGAAGCTGTCAGTGGACCCTCAACAGAGGTGAATAAATTCAATATAAACTTTTCCAATCATATTCTGGACATTACCCTTAATTCTCTGAATTAAGGATTCACATATCTGAAAATAAGTGTTCAGTTTTTGTGCGACATTATAAAACTAAAAAATATAGCTATAAAATTTCAGAAAATTGCTGCACCAGTCTTCAGTCATTACTTTCGGTCGAAAATGAATCGGATAAAAATGCAAATGATCTTCAATAAAAATTGTATTATGTATCCTGAATGCTACCATATTCTATGAAATCTTTTGATGTTTTAAATAATTTATGTCAAAATAACTTAATTACTTTATATATCTAAATACTGCTGTAGCTCTGAGAATTTTATTACTGCTTCCTAACTCTGTAACTAGTGAGAAAATAGTTTTCCCAAATTCAAATTAATAAAACACTACCTAAGAAATACATTGAAAATAAGCCAAAGAAAATTTAGAAATTATATATCAGAATTAATATCTATTGAATCTTCACTGGCTGCCACTCTAGACTACACAACCATAATCAACAAATTTGCTAAAGTTAGAAGGGTAAAACTACAGTACGTTATTATAGCTGATAGTTGATATAATAATTTTAAAGTAGTTTAAATTTTCAAAATAAAAATATTACTTGTACATTTTGAGGATTTTTTAAAATTATAACTGAAGGTTATTTTAGAGAAAAAAACACTTTAAGGATACCATTTAAAAGACGTGCATTATACTCAGAAAATCTAACACACAGCCCTGCCTAGTGCCTTCAGTATGAAAGAGTTACCCTTCCTCATGCTGATATCTCTTTTTAACATTTACATCAAGAAAGTACTCAAATACTTGAACAGCAGCTTAATAAAATTAAAGAAATATAACAAGATTTGAATAGAGATAATTTAGTTACATGGACATCAACGTGATGAAAAAAAAAAAAGCTAAATATTCTGATTGGCAGAATTAACATTGCAGTGTCACTTTCTGTTGTATTATCATATCAGTAAAAAAATTAGTGCTACTCAACTTCAATTAAGTTAAAAAAAAAATATGATCTTTGAATTTCACTCTTGACTGCCAGAAAACTGAAATGCTTTACATCTGAATTCCCTTAAAAAAAGATGCACGTACCGAAGGTAGAATGATGATACAAGTGCTGAACATAAACTACCTCAAAATGGTGATAAAGTGTCATAATCGGTCTAGAAGTTATTGTGACAACTACAAAGTACAGCAGATAATATTGAGAAACATCATACAAAATTTAGCAGCAATATTTGGGAGTTATTCCAATGTCATATTTTAATAATACATATGATATGTATATTAAGCCTTTCATGATGTAAGAGGTAAACAAGTATAAAACCGTATATGGACAAACTTAAAGCACTGAGAATCTAACTTATAAAGCTTGACGATACAGCTAATGCAAATTAAATAAAATAACTCTACTGCACAAGTCATAAAAGAAGTTCTGGTGCTTAATGAAGAACTTAACAAATAACATTAAAAAATTCTTCTTTGATGAAATTATGACAGGAGAAAGCAAAGAATATTAACTAGCATTGGTTTTCACAATGTAAAAGTTTTGTATACATGTTCACACCAACTTGACTAATTAGGGGATGATCTCACTATAAGAGACTGGAAAATGTTTTCTTCCTCTTTTCTCAAATATTTTCCCATTCCTATCTTCGTAATCAATTTTAATGAGGAATAAACACAATTTTGCTCATAATAATGTTTAAAACAAGCCTTTCTTTGTACTATTTTCAAAAAAGCATACAATATCAATAATTCATCAGCCATAAAATCTACTAAATTTCAAAAACCTGTTTGAACTCTAATATCCATGAAAAAAAAGGAAATGTGAAAATTTTTTACCCAGAATGTCAAGAAATTTTAATAGTCAGAATTTGAATAAAAATTATCAAGGAACATATGACCTTTCTCCATATTATATGAATGTAAAGGTTTGGTTTATTTGATTATGATAAAGCATACTAGGACTATTCACTTAAATGAAGAGATGCCTTTGTGGAAGACTCGCCTAACAGAAATTGGCTCACATTCATATTACACATGCAGAAAATCATGAAAATGCCCATGCAGCCAGCCTGTTCATCTTTAATCAAACAAAGGCCAAAGTCTTTTATTTGCCTTTTTGAGTAAATGAGTAGTCTACCATTACTTTGTAAGTAGAAAGACCAAGCAGAATAACATTTAATATTATTTATTTGTTACAATGTAATATGTTAAAATGCATGAATAAATTTCCGTAATAAAATTACATTAAATATTGTTACCAGAAAAAGTTGCAGCAGAATAAAAATGTAAGTTCTATAAAATTACAGCTAATTGTTACCAATAAAAGCTGCAACACTTTTGACATAGCAATAAACTATTAATAATTTAAACAATCGAACTATGGGTCCACCAGTGGTTGAGTGTCTAAAACTTTTTGCTGAACATCGTTATTTCAGCCTGGGTTTGATTTGCAATGGACTGACTGGCTGTAAGATGTTTATTTTGTCCATGTGTAACCTAAATACAATACTGTTTCCTTAAAAAAGTTCCCCATAAAGACATCTCTATTTTTAGGATGTCAAGTGCTTGAACAGACACTCTGTTCTTCAAGTGCTTTACTGTATTCAGCTAAATACACAACTAACATGAATAAATAATATTTACATGTTTAATGGTGGCTTACTGTTACCCTGATAGCAAACAAAAATGACTATTAGATAACTTGAGGCTAACATTCAGCTGTAGGCAGAAAATTTTCCATTAAATGTTTTGCAACTGTGTAGATAAAAATTGATACTTAAGTTTTGTATTAATATATTCAAATTTTAAAATTTCTGTAGAAGCTAAATCAATGTTTATTGAGCAGCTAGATTTTTCTTACAGATCTCCAAATTCAGAGGATGTTTTCTAACACGATTATATTATGCATATTATGTATTAAACAGCTACTCCTCACCTTTCATTGACAATTTTCTAAACAACATCTAGTTTCAAATAATTTTTACATGACAACATAATGCAACTTACAGTATCAAGATTTAAAACTGCATTGCTTAAGAGGTTCTTTTAAAATGTTATTAGTCTTGGGAAAATTTATATCATGTCCAACACCTTCTTTTATCATCTGACGACTATAGGAATATATATGTCTGAAGTTAAAGAAATTTACAGCCAAAGGGTTCAAGTTTGTAGAGTCTTATCAAGATCAATGAAAATGAAACAAAATTTTGTATTTTTAATCCAATTTTATATTTAACTAAAGTTTCAATCTCTAATGTGTAATAACTCTCAAATCCAAAGACATGAATATCAAGCAAACATGGCACATTTGAACTATTAAGCCATTTACACTCCTTTCCACTTATATAATGGTGACAATTCATTAAATTAATAATAACCTGAACATTACATTTTCCCCCAAAATCCAAGTCCTTCAATAAGAGGAATAAATACAGTTTTATAAGCTGAAGATGTGTGAATGAAAAAGGGATTGCTATATAAATAGAAACTTATTTAAGACACAATAACACGCCGAATAAATACTAATTCAGAAGTCAAACAACAAAAATCAGCATTATATTTACAAAATTAAATTAAATTTTGTAAATATAATGCTGATTTTTGTTGTTTGACTTCTGAATTAGAAACTTATTTATTCTACATTCTCAAATATAACTACGTTACTTCCACATATAGTTACCACAAAATAAGATAACAGCTACAGGTTTTTAATTGACTGCTACTAACTTGCTTAAAAGATTTAACTGTTAGCAGCACATTAGAAACAATTTTAAGTAATCCACATGTATCCTGTTATTTACCACTGTTTGGCGGAGTGACAACTGTCATGGAAGTTCCTAATAAAGATTCTAAATGTCGAATTCCAGGATTGTGTACTATGGAAAATCCACACAGTGCTTCAATCTGTTTCCAACGATTAATCCTCTCCTGTAGGTCTTTGGTCACTTCAGAAAGAGCAGCTCTATAATTTAAGATATATTCACAGTAGTATGAATAGTCTAATATATCAAATTTAAAAATTTGAAAAAATGCAGATATAAGATGTCTGAAATAACAAAGTATACAAATATTTTACATATAAAAGCATTACACTTACATATGTTGACTTCAGGTTTAAATGGGGGGGGGGGGGACATTATGCTTCTAATGTTTCTTTTAAACAGCACATATTATTCAAGCCATTGAATTCTAATTTAATGCAAGGCTCAGAAGATAGTAAATGATTATTATTGAAAATACCTATTTGCATACGTCAGTACGATGGGAGGCAATTTAACTGTAATGATTGATATACAAAGCAGCCAGAAAGTCCCTTTACATGTTCAATTATTTCATTGTAACTTTAATAACACTTACAGTTATTTGTCGAAAACGTCCATATATGCACCATCATTATCTCTACTCAGCTTGATATGGCTGAATGTCCTCCCACTCATCTGCCTTAGCAGCTGATATCACAGGCTTGAAAGCTTCAAGCACATTTGCCCTCATAGCATCATTTTTCGTGCACTGCTTGACATATGATTCAATTCTCCCCCAGAAGGGGAACTTCTCAGGTGAAAAGCTTTCTTCACCTACATATTCAAAGTCTGCTGACTTGGGGCTCTGGACCTACACAATTGTCACTTAGCATTCCTCTGAAGTGTAGATGCTGATATCTGCCATTCTCCTTCACCAAGGTCAAGCTGGCAAGACAGTGAGCTGGTCAATGCAGACTTTATTTTATTCCCTCAAGCAGTCACATGGCAGTTGTGCAGCAATCATGTTGAAATTCCCATGAGGAGCAGTGTTGCCGTATCAATGATGAGAAGAGAGGTCCAGACCTTAAATATCTTACCATCTTACACTATTACACATTTAGTTCAGGTGTAAAGAGACTAGAAAGTCCCACAATGTGCATGTAATAAAATACAGTCAAAAGTCGTTAATCCGGACTCGTCGGGACTTCGGCGATTCCGGATTATAGATCATCAGTTTAAATCTGGTAAGATGGCATGCAGAAATTATAAAATATGAAACCATAATTTATGAAATAAAGAACAATTATGATCTAAAGGGTATCAAAATTTACAAAAAAAGAAAGCTTAATATTTATTTGTTTACTTTATTAAACATTTCTTTCAATGTAAGTTGTTTAAGTTGCTTCGTTTTTTATGTGATCATACATTCTCTTTAATTCTTTAAACAGACATAATTTATTGTTCAGTTACAAAGTTCCGCTGTTCAAGTCCTATAATTGCTGTGTCGAGAATACCGACTAATTTGTCAATTGAAATTTTTTCGTTTTCAATAACCTCTGTTACTTTCTTCGCTATCGGAAGCGAATTATAATGACAAGGAATTTGATTTAAATCATATCAAAGATGGAGTACATTGAGATGAAATACTACATTTAATAAGGAATTATAAGCCAAATAAAATAAAAACATCTGCTCTGAAGATAAGGATAGTGCTGACAGAACAGCTTCCAATTCATTGTGCGGCGCCGCGGCGTTAAAGATAAACAAAGTTTAGATAAACAAACGTTAAAGTTTAGATAAACAAAGGATATGTCTTTATCCATTTTTTGTAGCAATTCCACCTTTTTTTAATGAACTTCGAAACATACTTTTTGTAGATCATTTACATATTAATAAATATATATCAGAAATTCTATTTGACATAATCGAAAGTTCAAGCTTACTTTTATAAAATTGCTCTAACAGTCTGCAAAAAATAATAAGCCGGATCCAATTCGAAGATTAAGGAACAACGCAATCTGCAACATTAACAGAAATAGATAATTAAATAATTTTTGCTTAGCTTATACCGTCCGTTATACATTAAACGCGCACTCCTAAACGTATTTTGCGCACGCGCAAAAGCATATTGTCAGCCGTAAAGGCCTTACGCGCATGCGTCAGAAAGTTTAAAGCTTTGAGGTCCGGATTATAGATCATTCCGGATTATGGGTGTCCGAATTAACGACTTTTGACTGTACCAGGTTTTTTTTAATTAAATAACCTGATGCAATGATTATTACATGGCCAAATATCAGCACTACTGAAACAAAACAGCAAGGAAAGGACCAAATGCTAATACTTTGTGCACCAAATGCTACCTCACAGAAAACAGTGCTTTGTTACGAGTACACTGATTTTAGACAATCCATTAGTGTGATATTACTTGATAATACTTTAAATGTATTTGTTTTTATTGACATTAATAATAATGATATGAATATATCAGAAGAGTTGGTAAATTTTAGAAGCCATGAAACAGATATAAAAAAATTGATAAAATAATAAACAGCTATAGTAATAAATAAATTATAAAAATATCTTTACAGTTTATGTCATTTCACTGATTTAACCTCTTCTTCCTCTTTTCTTTCATGTATGTGTAAACAAATTTTTTTTTTTTTAAATCCCATCTAATTTTTGATGGATAGTTAAAAGGGACACTTATTTTAAAACATTTCACATAAATTTGGTGCATACATACTACAATGAGAAAATATGTAGAACAATGATGCATACATACTACAATGAGAAAATATGTAGAACAATGATGCATACATACTACAATGAGAAAATATGTAGAACAACGATGCATACATACTACAATGAGAAAATATGCAGAACAAGAACTGACATTAGTAATTATGTTTAACATTGAATTTTTTGCTTAATACACATTCTGATTTTAAAAAAAGGATCATACTTAGCTTGTAATATCCTGTTATCAACATCATCAATGGAACTTCCATGAGCTACCCTGAAAGCACCCATAAAGCTGGTTCTTTTTTTTCGCAGCTTCTCACACTATAATAATAGCAAGTATAAGCTATAAATAGTAAGAATATTATAATTACCAAAATTAGAAAATTTAATTTTAATAATGATTTGCAAATAAAATCTTATTTATATGAAGGATAAGCACTCAAAGTGCATAAACAACTTTCTTTAGCAGATATACATGTCAACAACTGAAATCATAGACAATAAAAGTTATCGGACTACTTGATTACGGCAATGTGGACTACTTGATTATGGCAATGCATATCATGTCACCCACTTATGGGAAAGGACGCATTCCCTAAGAGGTTTTCTGAGATCACTGGTCTACATTTAGAACAGAACAAACATGATAAAAACAGACAGAAAAACATACAATTTTTCTAAATTTGTATGACTCTTTTTCCCCAGTTATTGGACACTTACTCAAAAGCAAATTTATACAACTTGCTTATGAAAATTAAACTGACAAATAAGTTTAAAAAGTATTTACTTGAACACAAACATGTGTTACTAGAATTCACTACCCTGTAACTATTCAACACAAAAATACTTAAACTGCTTTCTGATAACAAAATATTCTAACACTGATTAGCATGAATACATACTAAAATGTAATATATATGTATAAAGCAGGGATGGGCAAACTATGGCCCGTGAGGCAACTCTGGCTCCGAGGAAGTTTCTATTCGGCCCGCGGATATAATTTTAATTTGCCGTTCCGAGGCAAATTAAATGAAATATGCATTTATATATTATATATACATCTCTTTTTCTACTTTGTTTAAATATACTTTTTTTTCCAAAGGACTAGTGATCTTTTTACTTTCTCTACTTTTGTTCTACAAAACATAAATCGACGGAAATAGCAAGCACAGACAGATTTCAATTGGCAAAGTGTTAAAAGTGGAAGTTCTTTTGTTTGGATTTCACCGACCACTAATTGGATTACAAACTCACAAGTGTTCGAAAATCTTTAATTTTACTTACACTGGGATAGCAAAAATCATCGCGGGAACCCAAGAGAGCACCTGAACCGAAGTTCTTTGTTAGTTATAGGTGTAGATTGGCGCCAACAAGCGTTATCTTTCTCGGGAAGCAGACATATGGGAATCCAATATAGGTGAATTAGACCTCACTTGTGGCAGATCGCGCATTTTAAGCTCCAGCCAGCAGCTTTTTTCTTTTGGCGCGAGTTCTAATATTATAGATTGCATATGGAAAGATTGTGGACATATAGCACCATTGTGAATAGTGGTGATATTATTAAAAGTATATCATAACAAGTGCTTGTTTGGGTTATTCGTAAAATATGTCAACCCCAAAATGGTTAATAAAAAACGTAAAGTTGATTCAGTGTGCCATGCATTTAACGATGAATGGACCTGGAAACATTTTTTTACAGTTGTAAAAGATAAACCAGTGTGTCTCATCTGCAGTGAAGCTGTAGCAGTCTTCAAAGAGTTCTGTAGTGTTCTGTGGAGTGTGAAATGTTAGAAGATACAGAATAGCTTTCAGACATTCTTTGCCATATGAGCGACTTGAATGTTAAGATGTAAGGGAAAAATCAATTTATTGACGATATCCTGGGCCATCTCAAAGCTTTTAAACTAAAACTTAATCTGTTTGCTGAGCAGCTAGCTAAGAACGACTTGTCTCATTTCCCGAGGTTAAATTCACTACCCTCAATAAATGAAGAAAAGCTTAAGAATTATGAAGATGGCTTGAAAAAAAACTGCATTTTGAGTTCGAATGCAAGATTTCAGTGCCATTCAAACAGAAATGATTACTTTTACCATGCCTTTCCACGTAAATTGTGAAGCAGTGAGGTCATATCTGCAGCTTGAATTAATTGAGTTGCAATTTAACAATCATCTCAAGTGGTTGTTTCTAACTATGCCAAAGTTAGAGTTTTACTAATCATTATCAAAAGTAAGTTTCCCAAATTTAATATCTCACACCCAGAAAATCAGTGCTATGTTCGCTTCATGTAAACAAGTGTTTTCACCTATGAACCTTAGAAAGAATTATTTCAAAAGTAGACTGACAGATGAGCATTTAGCCTTGTTCCATAAAGTCAGTACATCTCACTTCAAACCTCAATATAAGGAACTTTCAAAAATGAAATCGCAATTTCATTCATCTCATTAACATATTTCAATTGTAATACTTGTATATTATTTTTAAAATTTTAGAAAAATTTATCTTGGCCTGCCAAACTTTTGTAGATTATTGGCCCATGGCCGAAAAGGTTTGCCCATCCCTGGTATAAAAAATAGTCATAAATGTAGCAGTAACTTAAATAAAAATGATAAGACATGAATCTGTGCTGAAGCTGCAAGATCAAAATAAATTCAAAGTGAAGTACAAGGTCAGAGCGTAAATTAAATATAAATTTAGTTCCCAAAAAATATAAAAGTCAACCTATTTTTACCTCCACGAAATGGTTACAAAAATCGAGTAAACGTAAATGAAGGGTACAAAATAAAAAAAGGAAGAAAATCTTAAAAACACAGAGGATGAGACAAATACAAAGTGCAATAAAATTGCATGCAAGTTAATCTCCTTTGTTTAATGCTTCAAACAGAACTTGTCAAGGGAAAAGTGTTTTGAAGCCTTAACCCAAGTTGATTAATGAGTTCCGAATACGTTTCGTTCCTCTGAACCATTTGAGACTTTATACTGCTTTTTCAATATATTAATCAGAAATTTTAAAATAATATTTTCAATGAGTCTCAAATGCACTCACATCTTTCCCTTACATGCATTCGTACTCAAAGAAAACAAAAATACAAATATATATACATACAAGATGCAAATGCTAAAAAATAGCATAGGCTACATAAAAATTGACAAACCTAAATGAAACTAAGAAATGGTGTAACTAAATTTAAAAGGAAAAAAAAATGACAAAAAAACAAGAATTAAAAGCAAAAAACTTCTATGACTAGTTACTACAAAAAAATGACAAAATTGTCCACAGTCGATGCATAAGGTACAAAAAGGGCTGGCTTAATTTTACATGCAGAAAACATTTCTTTTAGGGGGGGTAAATAATAATTTTTTTAATTTATTTATTTTAAATTTATGTTCAAAACTTTTACTTCAATTTGAATTTATATATATATATATATCCTTGCTCAGAAATTAATACTTTTGCAGAAGTAAGACATTCCTTGGATATATAAAGCAGTAATTGATTAAAACAGTGATTCTCAACCTGTGGGGTGCGCCATATCCAAGAGAAAATGTTATTTAAAAAAATTCATTAAGTGACTGAAAGGAAAGAACACACACACACATACAAAACAAACTACATTCCGACGTATTTAATAATTAACTTATTAAATTAAAACAACTTACTAAATTAAAAACAAATTTAATAATTATTAATGACTTCCTTGGGCCTGTCTTGCAGAGCAAAGTTTTTCGAAGGAGGGTTTAATATTAGAAATAGACACTCTCAGTTCTTTTTCTATATTTAGCTGAGATCTATATTTTGTCTTCAAAGAAGCCACCACAGAAAATCCAGTTTCACAAAGGTAAGGTGTTGAAAATGGTAGTAGAATGCGAAATGCCCTTGTTTCTAGTGCAGAAAACTCATCATCCACTCCTGCCCAAAATTCAAAGAGTGATTTATTACTAAATTGTCTTTTGGTTTTGCCGCTTGCCGTGAAATCTATGAAGGTTTCTTCCTCTTCATTTGAGAGTTTTTCGGGAGTATTTTGAATTGGATCCCTCGCCCACTTGTAACTTGATATTAGTTTGTTGTCAGCAAGAAAGTACTTTTTTAAATTCTTTGCTAGCATTGCTAAATGATTTTCAATGGTTACAAAAACAACTTTTACATGTTGTTCTTCAGCCTTGTAAGTTTTAATACAATCATTCAAATTTGCAAACATTGTTAAGTTTTCTTGCTTTAAATTTCTGCTCTACTATTCCAATTTCCTACAAAAAGCATTTCCTTTATCACTCGTATCCAATATATGTGTATTTGCTCCTTGCAGTTGAAGATTCATGTTATTTAAGTTCTCGAATATGTCGACCATGTAGCTCAATTTCCAGGATTTGTACACATTTCTGCACACGGAAATTAAGTACTTTTAAGAACTTTTAAGGACCATTAATGAAAAACATTAAGGACCTATGAGCCAGTGAGAACCAAATAAATTCAATTAAAAATAGTATTCATGTCTGAATTTCACTTTTGTAATATCATCCTAAAAATAAAATAGATCTCTAAGTAGTATGCATTATTACTAAACATGAATTAATTAACATAATTATTAATAAGTTTGAGAATAAAAAAAACTTTATGAAATTTATCATGTAGCATTAAATATATTACACTTATAATAGTTGGACATGTTGAAAGTTAGTCAGGCTCTGTTTGATGCAGTTAGTTTCATAGCTTCGTGTAGAGTTTCAGGGGTTCTTAATATACTTTAAGGTTCCAATAAGCCATTAAAGCCCCAGAGGTCATAAGTTGTTTTATATTGTTTAAGTCTCACTAGATGCAAAGAATAAGTTTCACTTGAATTTTTACATTTTTGTATTTTACCTTGTGACCACAGTGAGTATTAATGAAAGGCAATAACTCGCTTTATTATATAGAGATAAATTTTAAGGGTAGGCAGTTAGTTATAAATAATTAAATTAGGTAGTTTAATAACCTTAATCATTATGGATTTACATGGCCACTATTAAATTTTATTTTTAACAATATTTGTTAAAGAAAGCTTTATTAAAATTAAAATCCAATAAAATTTCACAGTTTAAAATAAATGTAATTTATAACATTGATTTTTAAACGATATTAGGATAATTACACATTAAAAGCTACAAAACATTTATGTTTTGCTACAACACCACCCAAGAAAATATTTATCCATCATTTTAATTTGAAGCCTTCCCAAACATTTTGTCTAGTTTACATCGATTTCCTGCTCATTAATTTCCTCCTAATCTTTTCTAACAATTAGAGATTTGTCTCAATATGCAAAACCACTGCTCTCGCTAGTTTCTTC